AAATGTGGCAGATCCTAATGTCTTGCTGAAAACCTATCTTTGAGATGGAGCCGGGAAGCCCCTGGGAATGTTTTCACTTGACTGGGAGGAATCAGAACCAGTGTAAAGTTCCCCGTGAAGCCCCAGATGTGGAGCTGCAGGATCTTCATGTTGTGAGCAGGATCTAATGTCTGCTTGATACTTTTCTATGACCCCCTTCTGAAGGTATTACTGCCCTGGGAGCCCACTCTGAGGAGCCACGGCCTTTGGAGGTTTTGGGGGCAGTAGGAATTTAATAGAGTTGAATCCTGATGCAAAAGCTATAAAAGGCTTGTAGCTTGTGGGGGGTTTTGTCTGTCTGTTTTGGTTTTTCTGGACAGGGGTTCTCTGTGTAGCCCTGGCTGTCTTGGAATCACTCACAGGTGTACGGAGCTCACAGAGCTCCACCTGCCTCTGCCTCCCTAGTGCTGGGATTAAAAGTGTGGGCACCGCAGCCCGCCTTGCCTTTATGCTCAATGCTTAAATGAATAACATGGTGCCAGGCGTGGTCCATATGGTTCCTGGTTAAGGGCACTGCAGCAGAGCCGCTGTGGAGAAAGATGCCTCTGCAGCATCAAGATATCATTACCATTCCTCCTACTCAGTCCATCCCTGGGGGTAGCTTTGAGGATTTTTACTATATGCAGGTCATTGGGGTGGGATTTAAAAAAAGATTAGTAAGATTGTCTTAGGCAGAATTCTATTGCTTTGAAGAGACACTATGACTTAGGAAACTCGTTTGTTTGTTTGTTTGTTTGTTTGTTTGTTTGTTTCTGTGTAGCACTGGCTGTCCAGGAACTCACTCTGTAGACTAGGCTGGCCTTGAACTCACAGAGATCTGCCTGCCTCTGCATTCCAGGTGCTGGAATTAAAGGTGTGTATATACCACTACCACCCAGCTTCTCAAGAAACTCTTATAGGGCAAGAGTTTAACTGGGACTGGCTCACAGTTTGAGAGGGTTGTCCATTCAGGAAGCACGGTGGCTTGCAGACAGGCATGGTGCTGGAGAAGGAGCTGAGAGCCCTGCATCTGGACAGGCAGGCAGCAGAAGAGAGAGACGCTAAACCTGCCTTGAGCATTTGAAACCTAAGAGCCCACGCAGGTCCACACTTCCTCCAACAAGGCCACACTCCTAAAGAGTGTCATTCCCTGGGGACTAAGCATTCAGATCTATTCCTGTTCAAACCGCCGCAGGGAACCAGAGTCCACCCACAGCGGAGCTCAAGATTTAGTGAAGGTCACAGAGTACATGCTCTGGGTGTTAGGGGCCTGGTGTTCACTGTATCCCAAAGCTCTTGAGGAAGAACATTCACCAGGACCACCTTTCCCAGATTCCCTGGGAGATGCTCTGATGTCTCCTCCGTATTGCTTGGATGGACATTACATTAGTGAGGTCAAGGGTGTGTGTTCACAGGCTGTTCCGTGGTAGTCAACCTCTGAGCTCTTTCATGAGAGGCCTACCTCCCCACTCTGGCTGATGTGAGTGATTACAAGTGAAAGCCACTAACCTATAAAATTATTGTGGGTTTTTTTTTTCTTTGCTTATTTTGAAGAATTTTCAGCTAAATAATGCCCTATAAGGACTAATTTTCTGCCTTCATTTTGTAAGTTTGTTATCTTCCCTTGGATTCAAGTAGTATTTCTAAATTAAACTTAGTGAAGACTCCTTGGCATTCTAACCATAAAATCAGTGTCAAAGTATTGGGGTCAAAAAATGCATTTTTTTGTTTTAAAAAACATGTATAAATGGAAGAGTGACTTCTAGTGGGTGAAACCTCACAGGTGCTGTAGAGTGGTGTAGAACCTTCCTGAACTCTTGTTGACCAAATGAATCACCAGGAAAGCACTGAGAGCTGTGGGGAAAATGCATGTAGCGTCCACCTGTAGGGCCACAGTCCATGGATGAGCCTGTGAAGGGCCGGGTGTGCATGCAGAAGAGCCAGCTAGGAGCTGACAGGTGGACAGACTGCCTTTGCTGCAGGTTTAGGCAGCTTGATGAAAACCTGGAGTCCCCTGGTGGGCAGGAACCTTGGTTTAGGAAGTGCCATCGTCAGACTGGCTTGAGGGCATGTTTGGGGGCATTTTCTTGATGACTGGTGTGTGAGGGCCTGGTTCACTGTGGTGGTGCTCTCCCTGAACAGGTAGGTGGTCCTGGAAGGAAGAGAAAGGTAGCTGAACTAAGCCTGGAAAGCGAGCCAGTGGGTAGCCTTCTTCCATGCCTTCTGCCTCAGCTGTTCTCTAGCAGCTTCCCTCAGTGCCCAGCTGTGATCAGGGTAGGGAAGCCAGATTAACCCTTTCTGCCCTGAGCTGGGTTTTGGCCCTGGTGTTTACCACGACAATAGAAAACAAACTAGGACATCTCCACTGGAAGAGAGCCAAATGCCACCAAAATACACAGTGACACTTTCTGTCTGAGGCTTTCTGTTGCTGTTGAGAGACACTGTGACACAGCAGTGTTTGTGAAGGAAACAGTTAACTGGGGCTGGCCCACAAGTTCAGAGATCTAGCCCAGGGTCAGTGCGGAGGTGTATAGGCAGAGGCAGGCGTGGTGCTGGAGAAGGATTCTACATCTGGATCATCAGGAAGAGAGAGACGCCTGGCTCGAGCATTTGGAACCTCAAAGCCCCACCCCTCAGTGGCACACTTTCTCCAGCAAGGCCACACCTCCTAATGGTGCCACTCCCTGGGAGCCTGAGGGCCATTTTCATTCACACCACCCCATCTACCAGACTGAATCTTTAACTCTACAGACTTTTGAAATCACGACTTTTCACTCTCGGGTCTATGATAGGAGTTTGCCTCCTAGGTGAAATCCACCAGTAACAAGCAGCGGCTGGTACTGAGGCCTTCACGCTGCCTCCTACGGGGAACGGGGGCGGGGGGTGCAGGGAGCACCAGGAAGGAGCGAGCTTGACCCTCACCTGCTCTGGAGAACGCATGGCCCAGGTGTGCTGAGGCCCAGGTGTGCTGAGGTCTTAGTGCCTACAGAGATCATGTGGGAAGAGGGGGTGGGGCCTGAGCGTCTGTGTGTGCAGCAGGCTGCCAGGTGCCATTCACTCTTGTGCATAAACCACATTCGAGCTGCAGGCTTGACGCCTGAGCAGTTAGCATAAGCAGCTGAGGCTAAATCCCAGTGCTCAGGAGCCTGAAGTAGGAGATTTAAGTGGATACCCAATGATCCAGAAATAAGATACTAAAAAATGTGCTTTAAAAATCATTTAGAAGCTGGCTTGGTGGCGCACGCTTGTACTCCCAGCCAGCTGGCATTAGCAAAAAGTAGTAATGAATCAATTAGATGGTCAGTAAAGGTCCAAACTGGCCATCAGTGGAGGCAGAGGCAGGCGGATCGCTGTGAGTTCGAGGCCAGCCTGGTCTCCAAAGTTAGTCCAGGACAACCAGGGCCACACAGAAAAACCCTGTCTTGAAAAATCAAAAATAAATAAATAATTTAGCATTCACTAGATTTTTACTTTTGCAAGCCATTGAAGTGGTCTCTGGGATAAAAACAAAACAAAATAAAACCAAAAGATGAGTAAGATCAACATAGAGACCACAGAGAGCAAGCCCGAGTGCCAGCGTCCTGTCATAGTGTAACTGTTCTCTGTGGGAGTTTTTCCTCCAGAGATTCCAGGGCTGGCCTGGCATACAGAGTGACGCCTATCCCAGAGGAGATGAAGCGGTTCTGTGACACTGGAGAAGAGGATGTCGGTGTAACCAGAGCCGTTGACTCCCCTGCTGTGGGTTTTCACATTAGAAAGATGAGCACAGTGTTCATCAGATGAGGCTGCAGTTCTCTGCGTTCATGGCGCCGTGAGGATGTATGACAGCAGTCATTGCTGAGGGTGAATGCACGTGCACCAGTCTGTATTGGTCCAGGATGGGAAAAGGGCCCCCAGGGGCAAGGCCTGGATCCTTGCAGCCTTGAGCTGTCTATGGCTCCAGGGCTTCTGTTCTTCACATTTATAATATCTGCCGTTTAACGTCAGTATTCGTGGAAGTTGTTTCAGTAGCTAAGTTACTACTGTCTTAACAGTGAGGGTTTTGGCCTCAGACAATGATATCAGGGAACAAACCGACATCCCCCTGCAGCAGCAGCGGGAGAGGGGTCTTTCACCAAGGACAGGATTCGGACTGCCAGGCTTCCAGTCCTGGAGAAGACAGGCAGAGCCAGCTTGCAGTGAGAACACACAGCGTGTTGACCCGGTCACAGTGTCTAACTTCACACATTGTACGTGATGCTTTCTTCTCGGATGGAAGCCGCAGATGGACGTTTGGGCGGCTTGTCCTGGGCCAGCAGCACCGTTACGGGTCGGTGTTTCTTGCCAACAGACTTGCAGACCCGGCAGTAAAGTCCCCACAGTGTGCAGCGTGTGTGCTGGCTGCTGTTCCTGACAAGAGAAGAGTTAGGAGGGGTGCCTTTGGGTTCCCAGTTATAAAAGGTATGCAGCCCATCTTGGTGGGGCGTGGCCTCAGGAGCATGACATGGCACTGTGTCCACAGCCAAGAGGCAGGGAACAGACGGGAAGTAGATGTGCTCTGTAAAACCTCAAGACCTGTCCCCAGGTCTACGGCCCCTCTGCAGTCCTCTAGTTAGGCCCAAGACCTAAGAGTACTTAACTGCTCCTCCAGAAGGCCTTGGGCTGACGAGAGGGCCTGTGGTGGGTGGCTGTCCACAGCCTTCCGTAATTGCACCTCTCCTGCCACCAGCTAGGAAACAAGTGTTGTTCAGCCTGTAGGCTTCCCACATTCAGCTGGCCACGGCGGCAGGGCCAGCCACGGCAGCAGGGCCACGGCCCTCCCGTGAGAACCAGACTTGACAAGAGACTTCAGGCCTCGGAACAGTCTGATATAACATTGGACAGTAGCACAGTAAAATCGGAGTGAGCTGCCTGATCTTTACCAAAAGCAACGAGAACTTGATGTTTACGGAGAGGATTAAAGCACGTGCTCATGAAGGGTGTCCTCCTCCTGTCATCTGCAGATCCCAGGAGAAAACAGAAGAGGCCATCGTGCTGCTGAGGGAGTCCATTAAGTATGGTCCAGACTTTGCTGACGCCTACTCCAGCTTGGCTTCCCTCCTGGCTGAGCAGGTAAGTGCTTCCATCTAACTCCTAACTCCAGGCTTTCCTTCAATGTGACTGTCAAGCGCATAGGCCAGTGTCACCGCAGGTGTGCACAGAAATGACGGAACGAGTAGCTGGCGGCTCCGTCAAGTCATCTCAGGTAGGTTCTTGGTCCACACTAGGGTCCCAGCTGGCATTGGAGGGAGAAGGGTGCTGTTGGCGCGTGGTGTGTTTGCTGGCATTTGGGGACAGTGTGTGCATTTCCTACTGTTTTTAAAAATGTTTTCAATAAAAGAAAATGTCAACAAATAAATTAGCCCTCAGGCTGTGCTCAGCAGCTCTGTTTGGCTCTGTCTCCCCCGGTTGCCTGTTTCTGAGTTGCTGGGGGCTCTTGTTGAGGGCTTCTCCGGCCAGAGCTTTGGCATCTTCCGCAGTAACACTCCTGTGTGGTCCCTCGTTCCCTGTTCTTACTTCGACTTACTTGTGATATGACAGTTCGTTATCTTAAAACCTACCTGGACAGAACAGACGGCAAGACGGAGCCCTGGGAGACCGTTCTGGCCTGAGTCGCTGTGTTCCAGACCCCTGTCGCCTTTCGCTTGTCTGAGTGACTTGAAGCCAGTTTTCAGGGTCTGTGGTGTTTGTCCCCCCTTGCCCGGGGATTGCGCGTGTGGGCTACCTTCTGTAAACCGATGCCACGGTTTTGTCAGCACATGTCCGTGACCCGAGAGTGGTGGATTCTGCTGCCAATCAATTGCCAGTCCGCTTTAGAAACCAAACTGAGATCCTCGCTGCAGTCACTGGGCTTAAGCACAGGAACGCTGATCCCGCACAGCAGTTACTCGGGGTGCACTTTACGTTTGGACATTTCAGACGTTCCAGTAAGCAGCAAAATTTGAATGCTCTAAGAATATCCAAGTGACAGAAATTACAAACTTAGTTTTTATGTTTTAATATAGCCATTCCTAGAACCCTTCTCAGACACAAAAATCTGTGGATCTGTGAGCTCCAGATGTGAAATGGCGTCGGAGATAAACAGCTCATGGCCAGTGTGAACTAGGGACTCTGACTCAGGTCTCTGAGCTTACATGAGGCTTGGATGTCAGACCTACCCCTGAGCCTCTCCGTAGCCCGTCTCTTGCATGTTAGCTGAGGTTTGTTGTGTTCTAGTAGTGTGGACAGGCCTGCAGGAAGCCTGTCTGGAGTGCGTGATGTTCTTGCACGCCGACATCTAGTGCCTTATTTGAGGTGAACCTCCACGACGGTTGCTTTTGGTCCTTGGCAGCTTTGGTTGCAGTGGTGAGGACGAGGCTGCCCGAGTCCCTCACTGTCATGTTTCCTCACTTTACTTTCGTCTCTCAGGGACCTAGACGTGTCAAGCACAGTCACTGTGCGGGCTTTTTCCTCCATCAGCTCCCATGGCCCACACAGAGCTTCTCCTTTCCTCCTGCCGGGACAGGGTCTGCCCACACAGTATGTGGAGGGCTGTGATGGCCTCCGTCTACTTCCACCATGTCTTCCTATAGCTGATGCTTGCTATTGTGGGTTCCTTTTTCTTCCACCCTTCTATACCCATTTTCCTCTTCCTCCACCCCTAACACTAGATGAGAGATCAAAAAAAAGGAGAGGAAAGGGTTTCCAGCTCTGATCTTCCAGTTCCCTGGGCCAGTCGACACCGAATTGCTCTCGATGAAGAATGCCCCAGCTCCAAGCACTATCACACTAACCCCTTAAGTGCTGTTGTCTCGGAGCTCTCAGTGGACCAGACAGCTCACCTCTCTCCGGAGCGGCCTTCCTTTCTTTCTAAGTTCTCTTCTTGTTCCGGAACAATTCCGTTTCCAGTCCCTACCCAAACTTTCTCCACCTTCCATTCGGTGGTAAGCTGTGTTTCCAGAGATGTCTGTGTCCTCACGGTTCCTGTTGGTGTGAGCAGATACCCACCAGCAGCTCAGGGACTCGGGCTCTGATCTGTGCACAGGCTGTCATGGAGGGAGAGTCACCCTCCGTGGGTGGGTCTGTGCTGAGGAATAGTTGACCGCATTTGTTCACGTCTCATCAGGCCAGGAGGCACACAGGAAGTGGGCCAACTGTAAAGGTCAAGGCTGCGTCCCCACTTCCTCTTCCTCCGGCCCGCCTCTTAGAGATGCTGCCTTCCAGCCAGCAGCAGAGCCAGCATGGCCTGAGAGGGGCACGGCATCAGCGTGCAGACTGTAGTGTGTTTGTGTGTTTGTGTGTTTTCATTTCTGGGGTTGGTATCCTGAGACCAAATTCAAACCGTGTGGGACAGGAAGGTGGGGCGGGTACTCCTGTGAAGATTGAAGACTGGGTTTCAGATCCTTACACTCCACACACACAGTGAACAGGCACCATCTTTACCTGAAGTGTCAGCACCTGAGAAGTGGAAACGGAGGGTCCTGGGCTAGGTCCCCTGGGAAAACCTGAGTCAGTGCAAAGTGGAGCACTGCTGGGGAGGACCCACAGTGTCAGCCTCACGCCTCCACAGGTATGCACTCACACGCACGTGCTCACACACACACGTCACACACATTCACGCACACATCACATTTTAAAAAATATGTTGATGTTCAGAATTTCAGGCTTGTCTCCTGTGACCACAGGTTTCTGTAGGAAAAGCGCGCTCTTCTATACACCCACACTGCTGTGTGGCCTCTCTAACTAGCGTCACTGTTTACAGATAAAGCATTAATGTGGTAAGGTGGTGGCCTTAGTAGAAGCCCCGCAGGTCCCTCTGTATTCCTCCTCTACACTGACAAACCCCGACTTCATGAAAGATACGAGTTAAACTGACCCAGGGTTAGTGGCCTTGACATTCCTCTTAGGCCCAGACCATCTTGGCACTAATGTAAGAGGCTCAGCTTACACCAATGGCAGTTTGCTGTTTGTTTAATGAAATAAAGAACTTTTCAGACAAAAATTTTAAAAGAATAACATATATACTTTTTCCTTAGCTGAATTTCAAGAGTATCAGATGGGATAGTTGAAATGATTTCCTGATTAAGTTATTTTCTGTGGAAATAAGGCAAGCTGATATAAAAATCTATTGAATTTCTCATAGTTGGAGCTCAGCAGTTGTGAAGAGAAACAGATTGTGGAGAAGACCTTCATCTTTGCTGACCCCTTTCCTCTCCCTCCTCTTGAGTCTGCACATCTTACCTTAATGTCTGGAATTCTTTTGGGGTGAAACAAGGTTTCTGATACACAGTGTTACAAACAGGAGGTGAGGAAAATCCGCAACTTGACATTCCTTGAAGCAGCCTCCTTTCATCGGCAGCACGGTGACAGCACCCTAGTCTTTCACACCCCGGAGAGTGCGGAGAGTGCGGAAGCAGCACTCTTTCCCCTCCCTGAGCACAGCCACCACCTGCCACACACACAGCCCTTGGCCTCGATGACTGGGGTTGTGGACCCCTGTCACACTAGGAGAAATAATGACGGAATAAAATCAGTTCTCCATGTGCAGGCTCCCGCAGCTGTGTGAACGATGCACGTTTATCTGTGTCTCATTTCAGGGTTGCAGAGAGCACGGCCTATGGGCTGGGATGCTCTTATAATTAAGATGTCCACACAAGAGAAATCTTTTGAATATGCTTGGTTTATTTGCATAAACATGACTTACACTTTTGTGTGAATATGAAAGCTCAACAGACATCTCACCAAGCCAGGAACAGCTGGGGACAAGCTCCTTTACCTCCTGAACTAACTTCACAGAGTCCTGCTGGTGTCGCATCAATGCCTGCTCGCTACTTAGAAATAATGTGTTTTAGAGTATATACTACATACCAGAGGTCAGCCATCTTCCTCCTCCTCTTCCTCTTCCTCCACTTCCTCCTCCTCTTTCTCCTCTTCCTGTTCCTCCTCCTCCTCTTCCTCCCTCTTTTTCTCCTCTTCCTCCTATTCCCCCTCCTCCTCTTCTTCCTGTTCCTCCCCCTCCTTTTTCTCTTCTTTCTCTTCCTTCTCCACCTTCCCCTCCTCCTCCTCCTTTTCCCTCCTTTTTTTCCTGGTAGCTTTTCAAAAATAATATTTTGAGCCAGGTGTGCTGTCTCATATCTGTAATCACAGCGCCTGGAAGAGTGCTGTAATCAGAACCATCCTAAGCTGCAGACTGAGACCCTGGGTTGGAAAAAGAAACAGAAATAGTATCTGAATCATTTCATGAGGGTGCAAACTGAGAAGTAAACACCATCTCCTAGCTCTCATGCCATGTTCCTGAGCTGTCTCCTCTCAGAGCAGGCCTGTGTGCTCTGCCACCAGAGGATGTGGTCTTGACCTCAATCTTGACAGGCACAGAGCATGTAAATGAAAATCCCATGTGTTCAGGATGGCTGGGTGGACACCAGGAGAGCAAAGTGACTTTGGGTTTCAAACAAATGAAACCATGTTAGGAGCAGGTAACTTTCAGAGTGACAGTAGTGGGGTGGCATCATGGGGCGAGGTGGCATCTCAGTAACTCAGGTGCCTGTTGGACAAGCTTGAGGACCAGAGTACAATCTGCAGAACCCGAATACAAAGCAGGGTGGAGACTGTGTATACCCAGCACTGGGGAGGTGCTCAGGAGGGCCCCAGGCTCGATGTCCAGCCAGCCTCCATCTCTGAGGGTCCAGTGGGACCTCGTATCTCTAAGACAAGGTGGACTGACCCTGAGGAAAAACCCTGGAAGACCCTGGAGAAAGCAAATGCTCCTCTGTGTGATCACAGCAGAAGGGTGGGGAATCTGAGGTCAGGGGAGTCCCGGGTGGCCGTGGCCTGCCTTCCGTCTTGCTTTCCCCTCATCCCCGTCAGCATTCAGAGGCGGGTGCTTCGCCGACAGGGCTGTAAATTAACAGTCGTGAGCCTCAGGAACACGTGCCATTTAGCTCTGACCACATGGAACATAACCTTGTATCACATTAGCAGTAACGGAGATGAAATGAACATTGTCTATGATTCCAGCTGAAGAACCAGCCTGCCTCCATCGTAGGTTTAAAAGCCGTCTTATAGTAAAGACAAAGCGGGCTCATTCCTGTTTATGATCAAAGCTGTTTCTCAAGGACTGGGCTGTGACCCTCTTGAAATCGTAATCACAAATGTACTGCCCGCTCCAGGAATGGCGTCTTTGTTTCAAACCATTGTCTGTAACGATCTTGCAGCCCACCTTTGTTTCTGATGTCACCTCTGACTGCCTTGCAGTGACGGCCTGTTGTGTCTGGCCTGCAGCCACGTCCAGGTCACTAGGACTAACGTGCATTCCTGTTCTGCGTCTGCAGCCCCGCCTGTTGTGCCCAGCAGCTCCCCACTTGGAGACCCACTGACCCCGAACTCTAAAAGCCTTGTCTTCTGCACCTCCAATGCTGACTTCTTGACCCCTGCCTTAGTGGGAGGCAGCCGTGTACCCGGGATAAAAAACTTGCTTTACTGAATTGATGGCTTTAATTAATTTCGCTGTGATGATTTGGGTCAGGGTCCTTCTCCTGCCTGGGGATTAGCATGAGCAC